AGATTAAAAAATATTTTTAATAAAAATTTATTATTATTAGATATTTCCAACACGTGTAAATATGATAAATTATATTTATATTAATATATATTTAAAAATAAAATAATATTATACTAGTTAAGTTTTTTTTATTCTTTATTTTCTTTGATTTCTTGTACAGATGAATAACTTATTATAAATTAATTATAATTATTAAATTTATTTTTAAAAAATATTATTAAACTCTTTTTCTCTATTTTATAAATCTTTATAAATTATAATAATAGCTGGACAGAAAATAACTTTTCAGCTTATATTATTTTTTTTTTAAATTTTAATATTAAATATATTATAAAATATTAGAAAATTATCTTATATCTAGCTCTCCTGGAAAAGACTTTTATTTTTTATAATTAATAAAAAATAATTATTTTTAACCAGGCTTATATACAAGGTTAAAAACTATTTTTTTACTTTAATTAAGAAAAAATAATAATAGTATAGACTTGCTTTTAAAAAAATATATTATTTTTTAATAATATTTTTTATATTTTCTGTACTACATGCTTATATATTTTATAATATTTAATAATTAATAATTTTAAGACTAGTTTTATAAGCTACCATTTTTACAAGAATTATAAGAAATAAATATTTTAATATATTTTTAAGTAAACTATTAAACAGATACTAGAGAAAGAATTATTATAAATATATAATTATTAATAATATTTCTATAAGTAGATCCTCTAATAAATTATTATTATTAATATTTATTATACTATCTCTAGACTTCTATTACTTATAATAAGAGGAATTTTCTTAATTAAATATTATATTTTCTTATTATCTACCATCTGCTGTTTTATATTATTAAATATATTTAATTTACATAAATAATTAATTTTACTATTCTAGTATTTTTTTAAATATCTACTCTTCTTTATTAAATATAGATTAAAGAGTATTTCTTAAAGCTGTTTAAGAAAATATATATCTAATTATTATTAAAGTTTCTAAATAGTAAATATATATTAATTATAATTAACTGTTAGACTAGTCTAGATTAAAAAGTATTTTTTATTTTAACTAGATACTTTTTAATAGAGAATATAAATTATTATAAGATTCTGTTAGATTTTTAACCAGTATCTAAATCTTATATTAATAAGAATCTAATTAAGATTATCTTAAAAATTCTATAAAAATATTATTTTATTTACCAGCTGTTAGATATGACCACTGATAATACTAATAATAATAATATTATATTTAATATTATTATATCAGAATTCTAGGCTTAACTCAGCCAGGATATTTATTTTTATAATATTTTAATAGACTCTAATCTTATAAAAATTATTTAAAGTTAATATTATATTTCTTATCTAGCTTATATTATTCAGCTTTCTATTAATATCTTTCTTTAGAAACTTTAAATTAAGACTGCTAATGAAGCTGTTAAATATATATAAAAAAATAATAATAAAAAATTAAAAATCTCTTCTAGTATTTTCCAGATAATTAAGAAAATATATAATAAGAGTTATTTATAAAAGACTTCTACAGGATTTCCTAGAAATTATCTAAAAAAATCTTATATATTTTATCTCATAATTTATAAAAGCTTTTTTTAACTAGAGCTGAATCTTGATTCTGATTTTAAAAGTCTTTTTTAACTAGAGCTGAGTCTTGATTAATTCTGACTCCAGGAGTTTTTTTTTATTAAAACTAAGTCTTAATTCTAGCTCTAATTAAAAAAAGCTTCTAGAATTAGAATCAAGACTCAGCTTTAATTAAAAAAAACTCTCATAAACTATAAGATAAGATATATAAAACTTTTATAAATAATTTCTAAAGTATTTTATATAAGGCTTTTGCAGATGATTTCTATATTTTATTTATTATTTTTTATCTATTTCTCTAATTCTTGATTATAGATTTAGAAAATCATATATTTTATAAATATAAGTTTCTAATTCTAGAAGAAGTTTTAGTTTATTTAATAGTTAAAATCTATTTTAATATATTATCTTTTTCTTGACTATAAAATCTAATAAAACTTAATTTATCTTATATTTTATTATATAATTAAACTATATCTAATTATTAAAAGCTTTATTTAATACTAAAATTATGATAATATTAACTATCTTTATTTTATTTTAATAAAATAGAAGTAGTTAAAATATCTGTTTAAATTTTTATATTTCTTTTTTTTCTTTATCTCCTGTCTGTTAGAGAATAGTAAGTCTATAGTTTATAAAGTTTATAATATTTATAATAATTTTTTTAAATTATTTTAACTAGTTTATTAATTAGCTGGCACAGAAGTAGATATTCTAGAAGAAAAAAAATTTTTAAAATCTAGAAAATATATATTAAAAGCTTTCTAAATATTATTACTAGATTTACCAGACTGAAGATTATATTTATATAATTATAATAATTCTAGATCTTATATTAAAATTTAAAAAATTTAAGAAGAATATCTAGCTAGATAATAATACTAATTAATATTTTAAATACTGAATTATCTTTGAAAAGATCTTCTATTTTTACTGCTAGTAAAATCTTATTATTAATATATTATTTATAATCTTTAATATATTTTCAGGTCTGGATAAGATTTTTTATAATATCTTAAAGTATTAGAAGCTTTTATCTTTTATAATAATTTTTAAAAAGCTCAAGATCTATCTTAATATTAAAAATATATAAATTATTAAACATTAAAATAATAAATTAATTATATTAAAAATTATACTTATACTAATAATTATTTAAAAATTACTAGATACTCTGATATCCTTATCTACTAAAAATTCTATTATAATTAGTTTTTTTATTTTTTATTATATAGCTAAGGACTTTCTAATCATTATAATTAATAATATTAATATTAAATATTTTTTTAATAATTCTCAGAATATCTGCTACTATTACTAGAACTATTTATATTTTAAGATTATTAAAATTTTTATATTCCAGATATATATTAATTACTTTACTATTACTAAAAAATATCAGAATATTCTTAATAATCTTTTTCTGGATTTTATTATATTTATAACTAAGAATTAAGAAAATAATAAGCTAATAATAATCTTTTATATTAATAAAAATAAAAATATAAATAATCTTGATAATAATTCTAAGAATAAAATATTATTAAAAAAAAAGATTTAATTTTTTTTAATTTAATAATATTATATATACCCAGATACAGATAAATACTTAAATTATATAAATTCTTTATTATTATAACCACTAACCAGGATAATATAAAGAATAATTTAAATAATAATTAATATATTTCTCTCCAGTAATTTAATCTAATTATATTCAGATTTTTAATATTATCTGTAAAAATCTAATATAGAAGTAACTAGGCTGCTGGCTGCTAGCCAGAAAATTAGATTATTATTAATTAATAATTAATTTAATATATATTTTAATAATACAGTAATTAAAAATATATTATTACTGGTATATTATTCTTATAAAGACTTTATATAAATTACTAATTAATCTACAGTTATTAACTTTCTAAGTATACTTGACCTTTCTAACCAGCAGTTAAGATTAATTAAAATAATCTCTTAACTGTAATCTATTCTTAATCATATAGTTAAGAGGATTCTTATATCTTAATCTAACTGTCAGGTTACGGTTAAGGTTAGGTTAAGGTATAACAGTCAGGTATAACCACTCTAGGTATAAAATTTTCCATTAACCTACCCTACCCTGGCCGTTAACCACTCTACTTATAAATAATTCTTCTAGAGATTTTTTTTTATAATTTTAGTAAACTTCTTTACTTTTCTGGAGATTTCTATTCTTTTTATAGATATTACTAGATCAAGGTCCAGGACCAGACGGGTCAGAATATAGGTGTTCTGATTCTGGATGGCTGACAGGGCCTAGCCCTTTTCATGGTCCAACTGGCCAAGCGTTTCAGGCTCAATATGATCCCGTTTGGACTCTCGAACGGGCCAGCGGCCTGTCAATAACTAATAAATAAAGTACTTATAAAATACTTAGATTTCTTTATTACAGTATATATTAGTAATCTTCTTATCTATAGCGACAATGAGGCGGAACATGAAATTTATATTAAAAAATTTTTAAAATATCTATAAGAAGCTGGATTTTAAACAGTAATTTATAAATATAAATATAAGTTTTATATTACTCAAACCAAGTACCTGAGGTTTATTATTAGAAAAGATAATATAATAATTAATTCCTAGAAAATAAAGATAATTATTTTATAAAAAGTATCCATGATAGTATAAAAAATATAATTATTTCTAGAATTCTATAATTTCTATTACTACTTTATTAAAAATTATAGTTAAAATACTTGACTATTAATTTATCTGATAAAAGATAAGATTCTGTTTAATTAATTAATATAATACTAAAAAATATTTATATTACTTAAGAAGACTCTGATTAGTGTCTTTATTCTAATAATTTATAATTTAATATAAAAAATAAGATTAGAAATAAATACAGTAGACAGGATTATTACTAGAATATTCTTCTAGAAGATAAAGAATAACTAATATTCTATTATATTTTTTTTTAAAAACTATAGTCCCGGCGGAGTAAAACTATAATATTTATAATAAAAAAATACTGGCAATTATCCGCTTATTAGAAGAGTAATAACTGGAATTTAAAAAACTATAATAACTAGAATAGTTTAGTATATATACTGACTACTGGTCTCTGGAATATTTTATAATCAGTAAATATCTTAACACCCAACAGGAGTGATAGCTTAAATTCTTATTATAATTTTATTTCCTGATCTGCTACCGCCCAGGAGAAAATAATATTTTAATAAATACTCTCATGCATTATAATAATACAGGACTCCATCTTGCATCATACTTTGGACTAGAAAATGTGGTGCTGTACATGATTCAGCAGGGGAAACAGTCTGAAGCTATCGACTCGTTTGGTCGACTCCCATTGACATGGGCAGCCTTTAATGGGTACGTGGGAGTAGCTCAACACCTGCTGGAGAGGAGTATCAAGTCAGATTCAGGAGACAATGATGGTCGAACCCCACTAGCGTGGGCAGCATGCAATGGCCATGAGCGAGTGGTCAAACTTCTGGTTGAGAAAGGTCTTGACCTAGGCTCGAGAGATGCCTTCGGCCGTACTCCACTATCATTAGCCGCCTCGAATGGTTTTGTGGGAGTGGTGAAGCTCCTAGTGGAGATTGGTTCAGATCTAGATTCTAGAGACGCAGATGATCGAACCCCTCTATCGTGGGCCGCATACAAAGGTCATATAACAATTGTGCAATTGTTGCTGGAAGGTGGTGTTGATCCAGACTCCAAGGATGTGGATGGTCGAACCCCTCTTTCGTGGGCGGCCTACAACGGCTGCGAGGCAGTGGTACAGATCCTGTTAGTACACTCTGTTGATCCAGACTCCAAAGACGAGATTGGGCGGACTCCTTTATCATGGGCGGCAGATAATGGTCACGAGAGAGTGGTCAAGCCCCTATTGAAGAAAGGAGTTGAAGTATCCTCACTCGATCAAACAGGTCGAACCCCGCTCGACTGGGCATCATATTACGGTCATAAAACAGTAGTCGAACTCCTTGTGAAAAGAATTTCTCATAGACAACCACACGCCCCTAGTGCTACCGGTGGAGCTGCTGTGAAACAGGGTGATTTTCAAAACAACGAACCTCGAAACCCAGGTTCCCGTGCCCACGCTCCAGGCGCCACATGGTCAGATAGCCATGAAATTCGAGGTCAAGACAAGCAGAAGCAACAACATGGGGAGCCGAGCTTGGAAAGTGGCGGGATTACTCCAACAAATAGTGACAGTCAAAGACGGCCACTGTCGCCGGAAAACGCCTCGCCTCAGACTGTGCCCTCCCTCAACTCTAAGTGGTATTGCCGGTTATGTCCTGGAAAAGGCCGCGTGTGGACATGGAGATCAGATCTCCTGCATCATATCCAACTCACTCACGCCGTTCAGTTCCATTATTATTGCACTGACCCTGATTGCCCTGATGCTATTGGACGCAACCCCATTGCCAAGAGACGTGACCAAGTTCGGTATCATTATACCACGAAACATGGAAGGTGGGCAAGCAAACAAGAAATAGACCAATCCCGACAAGAAAAGCCCCATCCTCGTTTCTGTCTAATTTGCGATACATCCGTCCACTCATGGTTGGAGTTCTACAAATGCATCGCTCGCCACTGCCAGGATCAGTGCTCTTCGACTGTCAGCGATGAACAGAGTGCCTCTGGTTCACAAAAGAGAAGGAAAATCAACGATGAGCTTGGCGGGTCACTCACTGCTCCAGAACTGACACGTGACGAACATGCACTGCAAGATCTTCAGTTGTAGCTGATGCTGCTCGAGCAGCAAAACAAACGTCTATCAAAAGAAACGTAATCTTAGATGTACTCCAGTAACTCAGTGACTGGAGGGACTAGTGCATGAACCCTAAATTTACTTTTTCTATTTTAAAATGCGTAAGCAAATATTGTCGCAGATAACTATTGCCAGCTCGAGATATGACCATCGATTTATGGTTGAGAAAGAAGAGAGGATGAGGTGTAACCCTTTGTCATGAGCACAACAGACTGGTGTGGATGTGGATCCTACGCACTGACCCGCTGACTAGGAGAGCCAGTTAAAGCCCCGTATAGCCGTGGGTGCAGGTGAGGGATGGTCGTTAATTCACTGGCGCGACCCAAAATGGCTTAGTAAGTACTCTCAGATCATGTGACTGTCGCATCACCCACAACAATAATTTCAAATCGCACCACCTCTTTCCATCTTCTTACCATCTACTAACACTACCACCACCACCACCACCACCGACCACCATGGCCGAACTCAAGGAAAACGTAAGTATAACTACTTTCTCAGTAGTTTATAACTACTTGATATAAGAGAAAAGTAGTTTTAAACTGATTTTATTGATGAAAATAGAACTACTACAAATGGTACTTGCGTACCGTGGCTGCTGGCCAGCTGGTGCTTCCCGCCCCTACCCAGGTCAGTATCACTTCAATGAAACCTTATTT